GTAAGTTGTTACTTTATATAAAAAACATCGCTTAATTTTATAAAAAAAATTATAAAAGAGTGATGTTTCGAAAATATTTGTTCTAAACATAATTTATTTAGCTTTAGGTTTTAAAGATATTTTATTTGCCTAATTTTTTTTTTTTTTTTGTAATTGTCTCTCATTGGTCCAATTAATCTAATGCACTTTTTTTTTTTGCTTTTTAAAAATGACTAAAAAATCTGGCCAGCTTTTCATAACTAAATATTATTTACATGGTCAGCAATCGAGAGCAATCGCTCCCGCTTCCCAACCAATATATATATATATATATATATATATATATATATATATATATATATATATATATATATATATGTATATATATTATATATATATATATATATATATATATATCTATATATATATATATATATATATATATATATATATATATATATATATATATATATATATATATATATATATATATATTATATATATATATATATTATATATATATATATATTATATATATATATATATATATTATATATATATATATATATATATATATATATATATATATATATATATATATATATTATATATATATATATATATATATATATATATATATATATATATATATATATATTTATATATATATATTATATATATATATATATATATATATATATTATATATATATATATATATATATATATATATATATATATATATATATATATATATATATATATATATATATGTATATATATATATTATATATATATATATATATATATATATATATATATTATATATATATATATATATATATATATATATATATATATATATATGCATACTGGCAGACAGATGTTCCAGTATAAAGGTTGGGTAGAATCTTATGATCCAAGAGCTAATGAGGTTCTAGAGGGAAATGAAGAAATTCTGAAATGAATGGAGAAACATGGTATATGGATCAAACCTTGATTCCATTATGTCTTGCAGATAAAGAACTCGAAGATAATGAGAAAGAAAAGTTGCAAAAGTTCTTTTCTCACTATGAGAAGTCTGAAAATCTAATCTATCCGAAAAGTCTAAACTTCACCCAGGAGAAACCACCTAGCTTGTCACAGTTGGTAGAAACTTGTGGTTTATTTTTAGTCTGTTAAATTTGAGTAAAGACGATGATAAACCTTGGCTGAACTTTCCTTCATCTTGTTGGGGCTTTATCAATCAATTTAAAACTTTCATTGAATTTTTTTGCCAAATATATGTAGTCAACAACTAAATATTTTCAGCAAAAAAAACTACATATAACTGCTCCAAACGGCCAACTAAGCTTGTGTCAGAGTTTGTTAATTCTGTTCGCAATGAGAAGGATGGACAAAATATGTTGGCCCTTCAGCAAAGTAGGGATTAGTTCAGGGAGTTTGAAAAAGGATTAACAATGGAAAGTGGCAAAAAAATGGCACTTACAAAGCATGATTTGAAGAACATTTATTTGATTTTCACCAAAACTACGACGAAAAGCTTATTGAGTTATAGTTTTACAAACTGTTTTTGAAAAAATTTTTGTCTTGATTATTTACTAATTTATCATTGTTGACCTTAACAAATTTTTTATATAATTTTCTTAGCAGAAAATTTATTTTTTTTACCATAAAAATAAATTTTCTGCTAAGAAAAATATAATACATCTAAGCTACATGAGATAAAATTAGGAGCAATATAAAATTGTTTCATGAAAACACATATTTTGCAGTACCTGTCATTAAATGAGCATTATAAAATTGTTTCATTAAAACATATTTTGCAGTGCCTATAAGAAAATCTAATCAAATTTTAAGTAAAAATAAAATTTCAAGGCAGATGGTACATACACATATTCTGTAGAAAAAATAAAACTGATGGAGAAGGGAAAGAGGAGGGAAGGGGAAATAAGGAACCCTCCACCGCCCATCGTTACCTTCCTTTAGGGGATCCCTATATTGTAATTATTTTTAAAATTAGGAAAATTTGAGAGATAAAAAAATTGTTCAATTGATATGTCTGTAAAACTGCCTAAAACTAGAGCATTTTGCCCATTTTTCCAAGGTCAAAGCAATGCATTTATTTAAAAAGTTAACTTTTCAACCAATTCTAAATAAATATTTAAGCCTTTTAGAGTTCATAGAAAAAAAAATTAGTGTTTTATTTCAATGTTTAAAGTCCTTGCTTTTTGGTTAAAAAAGCGGGAGCTCTAGGGCAAAAATTATAAAGCGGGGATCTTAAATATGGGTTTCAAAAAATATTTTCAGTTAAAATCATTTTTATCCATCGGTACCTTTAACATAAGTTTAGCTCCACAGAGAATTAATAGGTGTAAAAGAACAATCTACATACTTCAGTATCCACTACATATGTTTGCACTACACAGGTATTATTTTAAAATTAAATTAAAATAATGAATTGGAAAAGCTTTTTTTAGGTAAAAAAAAGATTTGAAACAAATATGTAAAAACTTTTTTTTAGACTACCCACACTGGGAGAAGTTTGTCGTAGAATATATTGGCTCAGAACAAGTAAGAATAACGCAAAACTATCAAACAAAACTATGTTAGATATGATAGAAAGTATGCGTAGAGAAGATCAACATAAAAAAGAAAAACAAGAAATGTCAAAGAAAAAAGCTATAGAGGACATAAAAAAGATGAAAGATTTTGAGATAGAACTATCTTTAAGTGGTACAAGTGCCACTGATACTGACAGTGAATTTGAGCCTTGCCAAAAAAAAAAGAACATCAATGAAGATAGAGTTTACATGGAGCTTTCAATGAATGATGTTCTTGACAAGTGGATTCCTTTTATGACTAGGTACAAGGTCAGTGTTCGAGCTGAAACTTCACTTCTGTCCTCACTTTTCAAGTTTGGTGGTATTGATCTAAATAAAGTTCCTCTATCAAAGAGTAGTCTACATAAAAACAAAAAAATTGTGATTGAAAATGAAGCTAGAATAGTGAGGAAAAAAAATCTGGACAAAGTTCAGGGTTTAAAGGTCATCATTCATTTTGACACAAAACTGGTCAAACACTATCGAACTGACCAAAAAATGTCTGAAACTGTAGAAAGGCTTGCTCTCAGTATATCATCCCCCCAGGTCAATGAACCCTTAGATTTTTTGCTAGGAGTTCTAGAAATAAAGTCATCTAAAGGGCAGGATCAAGCTATAGCTATGCAGAACATATTAGAGTATTATGAACTCACTGACCAGATCATTGGAAGTAGTGCCGATACAACGGCCTCTAATACTGGAAAATACAAGGGGGCAATTAAGTTCTTGGTGGATCATGTGCTTAAAAGACCTGTACGATGGCTGCTCTGTAGGTAATTAAATTATTTTGATAACATATTTTAAAAGTTTGTTGCACGAAACTGTTGCAAAATTATTACATCTTATATCATTTAAAAATTGATCTTTAAGGACACCATATATCTGAAAGGCATATTTCCTATGCAATAGATTATATTCAAGGTTCAACAAAATCTCCATCACATGCAATATACAAAGATTTTCAAAGAGTCTGGCCAGAAATAAGAGAAAGGCCAAATAATGTTGATTAGTTGCTTTTTTTCAATTATGGGAGAGGAGTATATGGTATGTACTGATTTTCATAGATTGGTATTAGATACTAAGAACTTCTGCATAATAGCCCTAAAACAAGATTGCTTTCAAAGGGGAGATTATAAAGTTATTAGTGAGCTAATAGTGATTTACCTTGGTGACCATGTACCTGGTTTCCAGTTCAAACAACCAGGTCCCCACCATCAAGCAAGGTTCATGGCTGATTGTCTATACTTGCTTACAATGCAGCTGACTTTAAAGATTAATTTAATGCTAAATAAAAGTGAGAAAGATATGCTTGAACTGTCAACTGACTTTATTGTCACATTTTATGGAGCATACTTTTCAAAGTCTCCTGGCCCAGGCTCCATTACACGATTTGGATGGCCCAGGCTCAGGCTTCATTACACGATTTGGATGCTTTTAATCTAGCTTATGAAACGATGAGCAATAAGCTATATATACCTAAGTACGGCCCCCTGGGAAAGCTGCTCCATGCAAGCCTAGTCCGTCATAGTTGGTATATTACCCCACAGCTAGTTATTCTTTCAATAGCAAATAGACATTTAGGACTGAAGGAAAGAGCTGGACTAGCTCAGAAGCTGCTTGGTTTTAATTGTCCGCAACCTGATGATTTTGAAAGAGAACAACCTCAACCTCCAACTGATGTGGTTCCCATATCAGTTTTGTCCAACTTTATCAATAAGAAGTCCTGGCTGCTCTTCACATACCTAGGTATAAATACCGGAGTAGTCAACACATGGATAAAGGATAACTTTGAAAATGATTCCTACAAACATTTTCAACATCAGATCGAGAATCTAGAAGTAGTAAATGACAGGGCTGAGCACCACATAAAACTTGCGCAAGATTTTGTGGCCGAAAGTCATGAAGAAGGTTTTCTACAGGATACATTGCAAGTTGTGCAAAAAAACCGAAAAGAGGTTGGAAAAGACATGAAAAAAAAGTGATTTTATGTAATTTTTATGTGATGAAGAAAATGCTCTAATTGAACTTTCCTTGTATATCATCGGTATACAAGGAAAATGCACTAAGTCAATTTTTGGCAGTGTGGAGTCTATACTACTATTTAGTATATATATATATATATATATATATATATATATATATATATATATATATATATATATATATATATATATATATACATATATATATATATATATATATACATATATATATACATATATATATACATATATATATATATATATATATATATATATATATATATATATATATATATATATATATATATATATATATATATATATATATATATATTATATATGTGTGCGTGTGTGCATTTATATCAATCAATTTTTAAACCTATAAAACAGATTTTGAAATTTAAACTTTTTTAAATAAAATAAATAGCAACACTAACTTTATGTTATCAGCCCAACAAGGCTCGACTAAGGGAATTAGTTCTTCAACACTTAGCCATATTGTGAACCAATCAGGATATTTCTTATAACACCAATTATGTAAGCTTTCATTTCTATCCAATTTTGCTTCTATTTGACTTCCACCAATTCCAGGGACTAAATATAAAATTAGCAAATATAAATTGGTTTTGTTATCTTGATGCATTTAAGCTTTGAACTTATGGTTGTTTACATTATAAGTTTTAAAAATTAATTTAAAGGTAAAATAATAACTGAGTTTAAGCTCTTTAAATTAGTTTACAAAAACTATAGTTTTAAATACACTTGTTAATGCTTAATATACTTTGTTAAAAAATGTACAAATTTTAAACAGTATAAGCTTAAAGCTTATTAAGCTAAAAAAACTAACTTCATACTATAGTTGCACTAATATATTCAGAAATAAGCACATTTTTTATAAAAAAGTAGCTAGTTTAATATATTAGCATTTGATTTGTTAATATCAAACTTATTATTATTTAAATTTATATATAACTGATCATAATAACATTTGTAAAAGAAATATATATTGTATTCCAAGAACCAAAAAATTACGATGGATAATGCACAATAGTTAAAAGTAGCAACTAAAAATAGAATCATAAAATACTTTTTTTTATGTTTTATAAAATGTTCTTTAGCTTTTTAATACATTTGTGTGCTTTTAAGACACAGCCAATTTAATGTAAAATTTGTGCATAATAAAGTCTTCTAAGAGCTCCACCCAAGGTCAATAACTTTTGTGCTACATGTAGTTGTCATTTATCTAACTTCAATTTGAACATTTTAACCGTTTAAATCTTCTTTTACTACTTTGATTAATGGCAAAAGACCATTACAATGATTAGATTATTCTATTAATAATGATTAGATCTGAATATTTTTCAAAATAAAATTTTAGTTTCTGGGTTTAAATATTAAATAGTAACTAAAAGAAAACTTTGATTATATCTAATAAAAATATTTTTTTTAAATCATTTTCTTATTAAATTAAATATTTAATTAAAAATAGATATCAATTTTTGATTAAACATTAAATTCAACAAACAATAGTTGCAATAATGATATTTATGATGAAACTTTTCGCAAGATTTATGAAATTATGTTAAATTTCTAAAATAAAAGATTCTAAAATAAAAACTTATAAGTTGATTAAGTGATTAAAATTATTTAGCACAAATAAAAATTTAAATAAACATTTTATTCAAAGATCTTTTTGTTACTAAGCCGAATAATAAACAAAATTGTTCTAAAGATATTTAAAATTATATTTATCTTTTATCATCAAATTTCTTAACGTAATAAATACCAATAACTATCGGCGTCAGAGAGCTACTGTTTCCTAAGTAAACAAATAGATAAAATATTTTGAAAATTAAGCTCTTCAAATCCATTTTGGTTCACATTAGTTACCTAAGTACACACAGTTTGTAACAGTATTTCATAATTATCAGTCTTAACGGTTTTAAATCCAAAATGTAAATAAAAAGAAGTATTATCACGTGACTTAATTTATCCAATAAAAGTCTTGTTTTCCAGAAAATCTTAGTCGCCATATCGCACCACATATCACACCATATCACTACATTGTAACGCGTAACTTGTTTAGTCATAAATAAAAAAAAGCAATTGCTTTTACATAGTAATTGGTTAGCTTTACGTGAATAAAGATTTGGCCGATTTTTTTTAACCTTTTTATTCATGTATAGCTGAACAATTACTCCAAAAACCAATTAAAGTAAAAGCAGTTGCTTTTTTTTATTCACTTGGCAGATACACAGTGGGCCAGAATTCACTTTTGCTCGACAAAATTAATAACTAATTTAATATTAGAGCTATATTCACTAAAATTAGCATGAGTACTAAAGGGCCATCCATAAAGCCTTACACGTGAGTGTCATTATTTTTATTGCTTTGTTGTTCATTATTAAGTGCCTCAGCACAGGTTTCTGAACTGCACATATTCAAAGTATGAATCATAAAACCTTTTAATGGAACTGAAGCTGAATAGCCCTCAACTGTTATATTTGCCAGATAACATTTCAATTTTGCATCTTCTCCAAGGCTCCGCTTTTAATCAATTGATAGACTAGCATCAATTATTAAAGCTAGTGCTTTGTCTGCTGAATATTTAGTTGCTTTATTTATATTTGAAATATTTAAGACGTTCTTGGCAGCACTAACAAAAGATTTATCTCTAAATTTTTTATTAGCAGCAAAAAATAATTCATTGGATGAATGAGATTCAATAAAGCAGGACGCTCGCCGTTTTTTAGTTTTATTAAAACTATTATCAAACGTAACTGGTTTTCGACCATGTCTACTTGCAGTTGGTTCGCTGTTTTTTTACTGACAAATACTTAATGAGCCAATTCACAAACTTCTTTTCAAAATTTTTAACAGAATAGTTTACAGATTTCCACTTTTTTTAAATAAGTAAACAAGTAAACAATTCGTTGAACAGGATTCCTAAAATCAACGTCTTTAAATTTAGCAAATTTTGGCTGAATAAATTTCAATATAACTTCAGTAATATTTTGTTTTGAAATACTAAAATTGTTTTTTTGGAGAAAGTTTTGAATGTCTAAGTGTATAAAAAAACATATCAAAATAATTCTTATAACAAAAATTTTATATTTAAAAGGATAATGTTACAATATATATGCCGCGTGGACCACTAATTCTTGTTAGTAATTAAGTTACTACAAGTGTTAGTAATTAAAATTAAAAGTAATTAAATTACTGTTAGTGTTAGTAATTAAATTACTAACAACTACTGAAAATATGTTGTTTATATGCTATGCAAAGTAAGGTAGCCAAAGCAACCAGAAAAAAATAACCTGACAACAATTGTGAATCTTATTTTAATACATACCCCTAATATTGTGTACTTAGCGCAAATAAAATATTGTTAAAACAACGTTAATGTAAAAATGAGTTGTTGCTATGCAAAATTAAGTACATAACAACCAAGTTAAAACGTATATAAAACCTGAATGGCGATTTAAGGGGACGAGTAATCAATTAAAACTTGATTGAAGCATCATATAGCTTAAATAAATATTGTGTTAACTATTAGTTATAGTGCGGCAAAAAATAAATCTCTTGAAGATTTTTTTTATTTTAATCTGTTATTTTCAAAGTATTACTGAGATAACATGCTATCGCATATTTATTTCACACATTGGTTTTTCTTATCTCTAAATCCTCTAGAATAACATTTATTCAGCCCAAAAAAAATTTATTCAGCCAAAATTGCTAGTTATTTGTTTTAAAAACTTAGATGTAGTTAAAATATAAGACAGCGTTGATGTCACTGTAAATTATTTATTATTTTTTGTTTGTTTGTTTTAATATTCAAATGCTCAGAGTCCTGGTAACTGAGGGATTTGATATAAATAAATTATCAATAAATTTCTCCTAATATCTGTAGATACTCAAAATAAATATTTCGAGATTAGACAACTAAAATTTTTCCCATTTTGTCCACCTACTGGCCAACTGTGCAACAGTTTAGTCGCAACTTGTTGGCGACCCAAAGCGCGTATAGCTCTTGTTTAAATAAGGCGTAGGCTTATTCTTGTAATAGTATAATTACAAGGTTATTCATTCTTATATGCGCGTCTATTCATTTTTATATGCGCCTTTATTCATTCTTATATGCGCGTTTATTCATTTTTATATGTGCCTTTATTCATTCTTATATGCGTTATACAAAAGCAATTGTAAAAAAGCAATTTGAACAAAAAAAAAAAAATCATTTAAGAAATTTGTTTTGAAAAAACAGTTTATTTTTTAAAACAAATTTTTCTTTTTTCCTGGTAAACGAGGTTAAAAATACTTAAACGAAGACTTTTTACATTCGATGATGGTTTATTTAATTTAGTATTAGTTCTTTGTTTTCGATGATAGTTTATTTAATTTAGTATTAGTTCTTTGTAATTTTATTATTAAATTGCTTGATTGAATAAGTTATTATTTATCCAATTATTCATTTATCTAGATTTAAATTTAATTATTTTTAATTATTATTAATATCAAATTATACATCCCTATGGATGGAATAGAAAATAGCAGTACCAATCGTAAAACAAGGAAAAATGTTACAAAAGAGCACATTGAAATGCTTAAGCAGTTAATTGAAATAAATAAATCTACAACAAGCATTTCCACTTCTCTTAATTTATCGAAGCACACACTTCAAAATCTTGTCGTTAAGTTAAACAGAGGACAATTCGACGACATGACTGCAATCAAGTTGTTTTCTGATAAAAAACGAGGTGAAAGACCTATAAACGCTCAAATAAAAAATATTATCGAATTATGCGTACAAGAAATCAATCTTTGCACGCAAGAAGCAATAAAAGAAAATCTTTCTGCAGCAGGCTTCAACATGTCTCAGCCTACTATTTCAAGAAAACTCAAACGCTCGGATTTATTAAGAAAACGCGAGTTATTAATGCACGAATGATAAGAATGAATAAAGGCGCGTATAAAAATGAATAGACGCGCATATAAGAATGAATAACCCTGTATTATGATATAATAAAAACATACATTTTGAAAGATGAAAAAAACAAACTTATATATTGCTTTTTGATCATTTTTGTCAAAGAGTATTAAATATTAGCGATTTTAGCTTAAATGATGCTCTTTGACAAAAATAATCAGAAAGTACAATAAAAAAAAAAAAAAAGTTTTAAAAATGTTGCGGTAAAATGGAGCCGAGAGAAATTAGTGAGTTCTTTTCTTTTCTTAATAGTAATAAGAATCTTGTAGAAAATTATGTTAGTAATGTGGAAGAAATTTGCTCCCATCCTAAAGATGTAATAGTTAATGAATTTTCAAAACTCCAAGAGGAAGATATATTTAGTCTTAGAAGTTTTCTGCTTACGGAGATCCTAGAAAGCTTTGAACTAGAACAATTTTCGTCCTTAAATATTTTTCTTGAAGCTGATGACCCTTTGAAGAAAAATCTTAGAAAAAGATACAAGGTCTCTACATGTTTGGATGACATTTACTTATTATCTATCTCTCTTGCGGAAAAACAGCTTCACAAAGAGTTTACTAAACTAATCAATAATTCAAAAATTGTTTGTGAAAAAATAACTACAAATGTAACAGACATAAATATCTTGTCGAATTTAAAAGAATTTAATGACCGCTTAAAGACTCTGCAATCAGATAATGTAAAAATTCGGGAAGATCTTCGCATACTGTAAGGGAAATATGGTGAACTACAAGAATCAAATTCTGAAATTATAAAAAGTCAGCAACAGTTGTTTCTAAACTACTCCACGAACTCGTCGTTTCTTCAAAAACCTATAGAAAATTTTATTGTTACAAATTCAATAAACTTTCATTACTTGACTCAAAATCATACGCAACGTAAAACAAATCCATCCTTCACCGTAGAGGATTAATTAAAAAAAATAAAACAGGTGAAACTTATGAACAAAAAGTTAAAATATCAACCAAAATGTCAGACCATAATACCATAATATCAACAAAAAGTTAAAATATCAACCAAAATGTCAGACCATAATACCATAATATCAACACCCACATTAGTACAACAGTCTCCAAAAAAATTGAACATAAAAGTATTGATCAAGATTGTTTGGAAGAAAGAAAAAATTATTATTTGAAACTGGGCGTATCTACATCAAAGAAAGAACCAATCTTTGGGAATAAAATTGCTAAAAACAGAAACTCTATTGCAGGAAGCCGTATTGTTCGAGAATTCTTATATTTGTTGGAGGAGTTTGTAATTCCATATCAGAAGCTCTTTTGTTTAACTACATAAAGAAAGAAAAAGGCGTCGAGCCCACTCAACCGGGAAAATAAATACAACCGCTCTTTCAAACTAACCATAAAAAGTCATGAAAAACACATAGTCCTAAAACCGGAAGTTTGGGACCACAATATTATTGTTAAACAGTTTCGAAAACCTCGTGAAAACCTAGGAACTGAAATGATGCTTCAAAATAACAACTCAGTAACTAAAAATCAACTATACGCAGCTCGTGCCATGTCTCTAAATCAGAAATCACAATGGATGAACGCGCAATAAATTCAAATAGTTGTAGTTTTAGTCTCTGAGCGTATAACTGTCAGAGTCTTAAATCAAACTCATGCTATATTTCTACCTTAATTAACTCTTTTGATATAATTTTTCTATCCGAGCACTGGCTCTCAAATGTCGAGCGATTTATTTTATATGATCTATCAGCTCCAACACATCAATTATTTTTTTACTCTGCTGAAAAGAAAGAATATGGAAGACCTTTTGGGTAAAATGCTTTTTTAGTTCGTAAAAACTTACTGCTTTCTCTTCACGTAATACACGAAGATGAGCACATTCTTGCAATAAAAGGTTCATATGGCAACAGTGTTTTTATTTTTATTGAAGTTTATCTTACTTCATTCAGAAATACTTCTGAATCATTAGAACAATATCTGTCTCAACTTAGTGTAATTGCCTTCATGATTAACACATACGAGGATGAAGGAGAGTGTATAATTGCCGGGAATTTTCAGTCATTTCCTGAAAATATATATG